GTCCGTCAAATACAAACACAACAATTTGCATGGAATCTAGATGATGACAATGACGAGGAAGATTCAAGCGCGCCAAAAACTGAGGGTGGGCTGGATGAATCAGCCAAGCCTGATGATGATGAACTAGATCCACTTGACGCCTATATGCAGGTATTCCATTTTAACTATTCTCTTTGAGTTCTAACACTTCTTTAATCTTGATTTTTTAAGAGCGTGCACAACGAAGTAAGAAATCTAACCGAAACAACCAGAGGTCCCTTAAATGAAAATTCTCGATTTAAGAACGAGCCCCCTGAAATTCACCTACCTGATAACTATTCTGCGGAGAATGTTTCTGAATCAGTTGAAGAACCAAATGAGATTTTATCTGTCTCGATTACAGAGGAAAATGCAGATATCAAAAAGGAGGAAGTCGTCGTTCCCAATACAATGGGTTCGGATTCATCTTCAATTGAAACTCTCAAAGCTGATCTGCACATGACCCCACTTGATACATTGAAGGTTTTGAATTCAGTTTTGGGCAAAAGACGCAAAGCAGTACCAATAGGAACTAAACTAGTTGTGAGACCACATGAAAAAGGTGAATTAATGGAATCTAATATCGATGAACTTGAATATTCATCAGAAGAAGAAGAGGAATCCATTGCTGATACGATAGCGAATATGCAAAAAAAAGATAAACTACTTCCAATTGATCACTCGAAAATGAATTATGCTCCTTTTAGAAGGAGCTTTTATGTTGAAGTTCCTGAAATTACTCGAATGACAAAAGAGGAAGTGAGAAACTATCGAAAATCATTAGAACATATTCGGATCAAGGGTAAAAATTGTCCTCGTCCAATTAAAACCTGGGTGCAAGCCGGTGTCAGTTCAAAGTTATTAGGGTGCCTCAAACGGTAATTTAGATTTATTTTTTTATTTTTCCTATCCTTTGCTTAACACACTATTTCTCACCACAGGAGTGGATTTGAGAAGCCAACTCCAATACAATGCCAAGCACTACCTGTAATTATGTCTGGTCGTGATATGATCGGAATAGCTAAAACTGGCAGTGGAAAAACTCTCGCCTTTCTGGTTCCTCTTCTTCGTCATCTTGAACATCAGCCACCCTTAGAACAAGGTGATGGCCCTGTTGCATTGCTTATGACTCCAACCCGTGAACTCGCCCTGCAGACTTACCGCGAAGCCAAGCGTCTTAGCCAAGAGGCTTTGGCGATTCACGTTGTGTGTGTTTACGGTGGGACAGGAATCAGTGAACAGATTGCTGAGCTAAAACGTGGTGCTGAAATTATCGTTTGTACTCCCGGACGCATGATTGATATGCTTGCTGCAAACGGGGGTATGCTATTTTTACTTCATCGTGAAATGAGAGGATTATCAAAATCTCTTACTTTGTTAATTATGTTTTGGTTGCTACTATGTCTTAAAGAGCATTTTTAAATCTAACATTTATTATTACTATTATATTTCACTATAGCTTCCTAAATCATACTTTGCTCGATAATGAAGAAATTTAAAGCCGCACATCTTAGCTTCGAAAATCTAGCTAAAAGTATGTAGAAAAACTGAATTTTGAAGATTCCCCTAATAAATTGATTTTGGAGTACTTTCATTTCGGGTGGAAAGGATTCGTAAGTTGGTTCCACCAGAGGCTGTGAAAAGGGGGGTTGCCTTGGAGCTGTGGTCGTAGATTTGTCCTAGGCGCATCGCCCTGCAACCCCGTTGAATCTTTGTTGAGCTTTTGTCAATCATGTGACGGACATCGTCAGAGCAGGACACCATAGTTAACGATAATTTAACAAAAATATGAAGGCAAAAAAGGTGGCTGGCTTCAAACCTACTTCCTTCCTATAGTCAAATTTGGTTCACTTATGCATCTCATGCTTTGGTTTAATGATCTATGCTTTGCCTCTATGTTTGCTCATAAGTTAAGCTAGTGGCTGCGGATGAAGCCTGAAATAAATGCAATTGCAATTTAATAGCTACATCCTCCGCTTACGTCGTTGATCCTGCAATGTTATCGCATGTGATTGCGTCCCATTACACGCGTATTCTGTGAGTACATTTCTCTTGAAATGAGTGTGATGTAAGAGTCATTAACATATTCCAGCATAATCAGACCTCTTGTTTAGTGGTACCTCTCGTTCCCTCCCTCTTTATCGCTAAACCCATTCAATAGCCACAAGTAGTTTCCGCTTCTGAGTTAGAAAATGAAGGGGGTTTATCTTTCCTTGATGTCCTAGTTAGCAAAGAGCGGACCAGATCAGGTAGGGGTGTATATAGGACACCCACAAATGCAACTTTCCTTTTGAATTTCTTCTTTAACCGCACCTATGAGGCTATAGCAGGAGTAAGGAAGTATATTATAATAATAAGCCTATGTTTGGCAGATGTTGAACATCTGGACCAGGAACTGAGGAGACTAAGACGAATTCTGGTTGAGAATACTTATCCAAGAGGGCTAGTTGACAACTATTTTAGAATATTGTCAAATATAATGGAGGGAAATACATATTTAAGGCCAGATTAAAATATAGGTGACTCTACCAGTATCCTTACGCTGCCATTGTATAATCTGTCGAAGAAGATAGGTGAATTATTGACGAAGTAAGACATCATGACCATTTATAAGGAAAAAATGACACTGTCCTCAGTATTACCTTATTTTTGATCACAATCTGACCCGCACTCCATATCGGGTTATTGCAAGGTTTTATGTTCATGTAGTAGTGCCTATGTGGGAGAAACCTGTAGACCTATACATAAGAGGTTATTCTAGCACAATACAGCCTGCAAGGGTATGTGAGCCAAAAATCGGAATTGGCCGAACACATGGTTCGCATAGGACACTAGATTCATTGGTCGAATGTCAAACACTTAGCTAGATATGGAGACTATGCCAGTAAGCGAAAGATTAGGGAGGCGATAGAAATCAACAAATTAGCCAGCATCCTGAATAGAAAGAATGAGTGTAGGAAATTAAGCGGAAATTACTTATGGCTATTTAATATGTTTAGAGAGAGGGGGAACGATAAGTACCACCGAACAAGAGGTCTGATTATGCTGAAATATGGTTATGACTCTCACGTCACACTCATTTCAAGGC